GGCGGCTCTCGGGTTTGGGGTTGGCAACAAGAAAGGGAATGAGGAGTCACAAAATATTATGAATGTGACGGCAAAGGAACTCCAACACAAGGTGGAATGAAATTGCGTTTTCAATTACTAAATGTGTGCTACATTTCTTGCTGGGTGTGGAGCGCACTGTCGACGTGCGGACCCACAAATAAGACCCTAATTGAGTTGTGGTTGTGACAACAATAATTTGCAGAATTATTTAGCAAGTCACACAATTACGAAAAGGATTGCCATCAGCTAAAAGAAAATTTTAACACTTGCGACACTCTTCAATTGAATCGCACAAGATGGCATTGGCGGAAAAATTAAATTTACACCATTGCGAATTCCCGTGAATTTTGTGATAAATTACAATATATTGTATAGTAATATCATACCTCTCGCGAGGCCTTCGCGGGTGGAAAATGCCCAATTTAAATGCAATGAATTGCGAAATTCCGGCGCAAAGAAATTTGCCAAGTGTGCCGTATTGCTTCACCGCTGCGTAAACAGAATGTATTTTTTCACAGAATTTCATTTGCATTAAGACAGAGAGAGAGCCAATAAAACAATATTGGCAGTGCCATTGCGGCGAGGTTTCGTGCTCTTTCGCGCATTTGCACTGAAGGGAAAATTGAGGGTGTTTTGGGGGTGGCGAAATGTTTAAAACATCAGGACTTTTCATTATCATAGAAAGCTACATTTATCACCTCTCACTTCATTCAATTCTCGCCGCCCTTCTTGTCGCTCTTCATCCGTCAGGAAATCTCTCACGTGGATTGGACTTGAGAGGCTCCAATTTCCAGTCCATAATAGATTTTTAATTTCTCATTTGAATAGGAGAAGTAATTGCATCGTCAAATTGCCCTGCATTTCAGACACGTTTTCGGGTGTGGAAAAGTTAGCGGAAAAAATACACAAGTTTGGGCCCAGAGACGATAAACTTTTGAACTTGTTTGTCTCTTATGGGGAATAAAAGGGGTGGAAGTGGCCTCTCGAATTGTATACGGCAAAATAGGAGATTACATGGAGTTCATCTCGCTCTCACTTCCCAGTAAACTAGGATGAAAACATCAAGTTTGAGTATCCTGACCGTGTTAAAGTTTAAAATTTATGGAGTCAGACAGTGTCTCGACTTGGTGAACCATCTCGTGTGCACCCTTGGCGATCTGGGGGCGAAAGCGAGGGGTGAAAAAAATGCAGAAGAGGTCCGATTGGAGTGAAGCAACAATTTAATAGAAATTGCAAACAAATTTCCTGAATAGTCCATGGGCGGAAAAAGGAACTTTCGTCCGCTTCTCAATTTTTCCTCCCAAGCAATTGTTCACTCACCGAAGACTTTGCAGTGCGAGAAAGACAAACTTTCACAGTATTATTGTACTTTGCCGGCACTTGTTCATCCTGGAGACTTTTTACCGCCACCTCTTCAGTATACATCCTGCATCCTCTCTCCGCCATCCCCATCAATAATGGTGAATTGTGTAGCATTTAAAAATGTACATGGAAAAATGCTCGATAGAAGTTTTGCACATTGAATCACCAAGGGATGAAAGCCTCAGCGATGAAGTGCCACGGCGGAAGGGAAAATGCAATAAAAGGTGCGCGCGGGGAAAATCTCACACAATTTGCTGTGCAGTTTGCCAGACGAGAGAGACAGAGAGAGAGAGGGAGAGAGCTATGAAATTCCAAAAAGTGTATTATTTACTTTTAACATCACAAACGAATGCTTTTTCTGCCATTGAATATACTCCAGAATATTATACATAAGAGCGAAAGCACGTTCTCCTCGTGGTATTTCTCTTTTAACTGTAATATAGAGGAAAAACACCCCTTCAGCCGCCGCCCCCCTTTTGTCACTCTTTCGCCGTCTCACTTCACGAGGGTTTTGGATTCTCTCCACTTTGCCCAACTTGCCACTGTGACGAGCTTTATAAATTTTTCATATATTTGGAGCTTTTTGCCGCGATGAGTGGAAAGTCCTCGCATGAAAGAGTGCTCAGCGCAGGAAAGTCATAAAGAAATTAAAATATATGCACTTGAATTACTATATTCCACTTTGTCGTTGTCAACCATAAAACTGACGAAATAATAGTTGTACTTGGCTTCTTTTTCATCCCCCTTGAAGAGGTTCAACAGCTGCAAGACATACATGAAACATACATAATAATCTCTTGGAGAAAGTTCATACAATATCATAAAGTTTCTCGCTCACACAATATATTGTAAAAGATTTTTAAAAGGTAAAGTAACTACTTGATTTTTAACACTTCAAATTTTGACTAATCTCGTGAAATGGATTCTCTTCTGCCAATCTTCAATAACTGGACTAACTTTTCCGGCTCAAGAGAAAGTTGTGTTTAATGCTCTAAAACTCGCGTAAATTCATTATCCCAAATTCTCTCTCTGAAGCACCTTTTCTCAACTCGTGACCACATTAAAGCGGCTCGAATGGCGACGAAGAATGTACTGTACATGGCCAAAGATGGGATAGGAATTTCCAGTCGACATTTTTGTGCGCGATGATGTAAATTTTCCAGCGTGTTTTAGTCACCATCAGTCGAATTTTTGTCCTCAGCATTCGTCCTCCAGCAGCGTGTGAAATATTCACGATGGTGTGGCAGGGTTGGAAAAGTGTGGGGTTGAGCTTTGAGTGTCATGTATGAACAATAATTACATTCGCTGAGCTTTCATGCGCTTTTTGTCTTCTCCGTGCGCCGCGCATGAGAATGAATCCAGCTGATTTATGGCACTTCCAATTCATCGCACTTCCTCCACACTTGGCTAAATCCTTTGCTTCGGTCTCTCGTGGAAACATGAGAGAATTTCTATTGACTTTTTCACGCGCGCACACACCTGCTCGAGCTCATTTTGGGTGAAAATCTACTGGGGGCATTATTTAAACATGATTCAACCTGAATGCCGTGGGAGAAGCTTAGGAGTCACACGTGGAGGAATTCAATGGAGAACTTTCACGGATTTTGTGGGCAGTTTCGTGCAACGAGATTACAATCGAGCCTTGATGATTTTTTAACTTTTAATTGACTGTAATCTGTTGCATTTGCGAACCTCTGAGGTTCTCTAATTAAAAGAAATCACGTGAGAATTGGTTTATGGTAGCTTTTGGAAATATAATTCCTGGGGGTTTTATATTTACGCCAATTTTAAATTTTATGTCCAATAAAAAATAATGACCTAAAAGTTTTCCCTCATTAATTGCCTAAACATTCAATTGTGTATTTCTATGCTAGTGAATCAACAAAACCGCCAATTTCGGAGTTCTGAATTGCGCAAATGCGAAGCATGAAAAAGAATGCTGTAGATAAACTCTTCCGCTTTTCCAGTACTTATTGCACAATTTCTCTGCGAAAAAGTCTGCATTCAAACATCCTCATCATTGTGGTAACTTTGAATGTTCGCACACCCTCCAAGTTACGGCTGAGCAACTCACCATATATACATGAGTATGCATATAATATTGCGAGTAGTCATAAATCTGCATACCAACTATTCCACTGGCATTAACACTATTAAATTGTATAAACTTTGTTAACACGTAGGGTGAGAAATTATCTTTAGCGTTTTGCCAAGGGTGCGGGATTGCAAATGAGTGAGTTGGAAAGATTCGCGAAATATAGCATTCAGACATTTCACACAGTTGCACCGCGCTGAATTGTAATATTCTCCCCATTTCTGCCCTCGCGCGCCACCCACAATATGGAAATCCACTGACAATGGATGAAATAATGAAGTTCCCGCGCACCAAAATGTTATTCAATTTCCATCCAGTTTACCCACCGAATTAGTGCATAATCTCAGCCACAGTGGCAGAAACTTTTCACTCCTGCCTTGGGCTTTTCTGCTGCCACTTTCTCACACCGAACACGGAAGAGCATCGGCGGTGTTTTGTGAATTTGACCAATGACTCGATTTACAGGAGAGCAAATTTATTAGGCACATCCGAATAATTAAATCAGGCCCATTTGAAGAATATGGCCTCTTCACCCCTCACGTGATTTCATGGTGTATCACTCCCCGGGGGTCCAGGAGACTCTCTCTCTCTCCCTTTCCCTCCCCGTCTGAACCCCACCGTGTGGGTGGTGAGCAGGAGCCCGGAAAATGATGCATCCCAATCTCGCCTGATGGCATCCCCGTCTGTGCTGCGGGGTTGGGCGACCCACATGAGACTGCCGGTGCTCCATGAGACCTGGATGAAGTAAATATGAGCCCATAAACGTGACATGTCTCACGGCAATGACGAGGAATTAATTACCCGAGACTATTCCCTCGCCCAGCCGATTCTGTCTGCCTTCGCCCAAGTATGGGTTCAGCCCATTTTGGATGATGTCACTGTCACGGATTATTATGTATAAATGTCTCTCTCATATTTTGCCGCCTTGACATCGCAGGTCACACAGAGACTCATGACGCATTCGCACTCTCATGGCAGGAATTACCACCGCACCACGACACTGGGGGGTTGTTTGTCTTCTCGTAATTCCTGGTAATACTTCGGGGACAAGAACTCCGTTCCGACGTGCCGAAGGAATGCCCCGCAAATGCATATCTCAGGGCACAACAATTAGGGGCTCCTCGAGAGGAGAATTCCGACGTCAGCCAGAAGTCATGGGGAGAGCCAAATTGCCACATTTAGACGACAAGGAGCCGTGATGGACGGGCCTGTTCATCACCCATGAAATAAACATCTGATCCGAAATCAAGAATCCCAAACTTAACCTTCTCGGCTTCATTGACAATTGGGAGTCTTTTCGAAATCCACAGTTTGTGTGTCTCAAAAGTAAGAGCATAAATATTGCTGTCATCTGTGCTTTGTCACGGCCAAATTCTGCTCTGCAAACACATTATGTCGTCAGCGGTATTATGCAGACTTACGGTGTGACTGAAATGTGTGAAACTCTAGTTGGCTATAAATAATGATATAAGTTAAAATGTTGTGAAATTAACAGCTGCGAATGTTTCCCTTTGAATTGCAGAGAACCCAGTCAAGATGAAGATGTCCAAATTGTCCAATCAGACCAACTCACAGGATCCGCAGGCGGTAAATTCTCGCATTTTCGTGGGGAATCTCAACACATTTCAGTGCTCGAAAACGGACGTTGAGCGAATGTTTCAGCGATACGGTCGACTAGCCGGTAAGTGGAAAGCTTTTATTAGCCATGCCCTCTTTCACCCCACACGGGAATATCACTTCCAAATGGCTGGTGTGAGCTGAGAGAAGAGGAGCGAGCCGAAACTGGGGACGTGAAGGGCCCCATCCGCCCCCATTTTGGAGAAGTCGAAGGAAGGCATGTTGAGGTACAAAGTGGCGATGAAGTGTAAGATACTTGCATCGATTTTTCCACTTAACATACTTTTAAGTCTTCCACCCACGCCCACACACTCTGGGCTTCCTGGATGTGAGGCTAGCCTCGTATATCGCCCATTTATGCCGGCATTGACGCTGTGGCATGGTGTTTCCGAGGGTCATAAAACCCCGCATAAAACACTTCTCACATGCAAAATATACAAATGTTTTCATATCTTTTTCGGAAATATTCACCGCGCGCGGCAAAGGCGTACGGAGGCGCCTTGCGGCCCCTCGCACACAATTTTCCACTATCACGAAAGCACGCGGGGCCGCGGCGGAGCGATGAGGGAGGAGGGGGTTGGTTTTCACGGTGAAGGAGCCTCAAATGGAGAGGAAGAAAGGGATTAAGGTGGAAAATTTCTTGTACATTGGTGAAGAGTCGAGGAATATACGGCATAATAAATTGTTTGAATAATTTGGTGCACGAAATATTTTATTCTAACGTCAATTTGGACGTTATTGTATTTCCATATTTGAGCCATTTTTTCTTCTCCTCAATATTCTTCTTTGCATATTTTCTGAATTTTTAATGCATATTCACAGTCTATAAATTATTTGGGGTAAGAAAAAGTTTGACGAAAAGCATCGCGCCGAGCTTTCTGCAGCGCTTTGGAGTGCATTAGTTGCACGAAGAGGATTTACAGAGAAAAGCACACGGAATGGGTTAAAAATGTAAATTTTGTATTTGTGAGCTCGACTTATCGGCTCATAAAATATCGGGAATATTGCTCGCTTTATTAACTCCATGCTTGGCAAAGTACAAACAAATTAACCAATCGTCATTTATGAAAAACCGTCTTCTCATTGTCTTTAGTGATGTTTAACTGATTCTTCTGCTCATGTTCTGTTTCGCAGGAATCTCCATGCACAAGGGTTACGCTTTCGTCCAATTTACAAATCCCTTCGATGCCAGAAATGCCTGCCATGGAGAGGATGGTCGTACCGTACTTAGCCAGACTTTAGGTAAATTATGCTCTACATAATGTACAATATTTGCTGGGAAGAAAAGTATGGAGGTCGAGGTTTGGGCCGAAAGAGATTACAGCCAACAATGAATTTACTGATAAAACTGCCCCGGATGAGAGGTTCAATACATAATACAAGGGGGCAAATAGGATGGGGATAAAGCACGTGGAATATGCTGGGGTGCTATATTAGTTAATATAACATTTGAGACACACACACAGAGCGCTGTGGGGCGAGGTCAAAATGGAAATTGCCGGCGATACTTATTTATGATAATTATTCCTATTATGTTGCATAATGTAAACAATGTGGCAAGAGCTCTAAAACACCTAAATTTACACCCCCGAAACCATGGAGAGAGCACACATAAAAAGCTCAGCGTACGTGCGATTCAACTCTTCCTCTGGGCGGACTCGGAAAAACATTTAACATTTCAACACTGGCGGCAGAGAGTGCGCGAATCTTGGTGGCAAGAGGGAGAGAATCATCAGAGTCTCAGAGCCGCGAATGTTGAGGGGGAATTTCAATATATTTTCCGGGGGGACTTGAGCGATTTCGGATGGGCTCAGAAGAATCTCACAAGGAGATAATGTTCTCCTTGCGGAACTTGCATTGCCGACCCCGAGGACCCATAACTCCTCAAGATTCCCGCAGTTAATGCAAGACTTGTGTTGCGGCCGTCTTATCCGTGCCAAACACCAAAATCCTTCTGCACAGAGTGAAAAGGGTCTGGATTTGCCACCGTCGATACAATCTTTGGCGCGGCAAAAATAAGTCTCAGGCAGGCGCGAGTTTTCCATCTCCAGAGAGATCATGTGTGTGTTTCTTCACGATTTCCTCTCCTGTCGACTTTTTGGCCACTCGCTGCGAGTGTGGGCGTTCGGAGCCGGAGAAGAAGAGGTGACAGTGAGTAAATGACTAAAATAGCGCGGATTGGCATCAGAGTGAATGGGAAGAAATGTGAGATTTCTCTCCAAAATCCCCACAAAATCATACACTGTCCATCTTTAATCTAGTGAAAAAGCATTTCATGCGAATGCTCAGCTCGACAATCATCCGGATTATTACTTATGACAAATTCTTGGGTATGTGAGCGCGAACACCCGAATTGAGTGTTTTCGTGTGCATTATTCACGTGGCTGTTTATAGATCAAAATGACGAGGCACAGAAATATTTTTAGGTGAGATAGACAATTTGGCAGCATGGCTATTTTCCCAAAATATAATGCAACAAAGCTCTCGCTCTCTCGTGTTTTTCTGCACACTCAGCGATGGCATCTTAAGTATTTCGTGAGGAGAGGCGCGCGCGGGATGAAAAACCATCGACTGACGCGTGAAACGAACAAGTTAATTTACTCAATCGCCTGAGCCCATTTGGCCAATTTTCCCTCCTTTCTTCGCCATTTACTTAATTTGTGTGAAGAGGAGAGAAAAAAAAATTTGGCGGTCAGTCGGAAAAACCCCGCGTCGACTCATTTATAATCCACACTGAAGGACGGATTGACAGACGCTGGAGGTTACATGCAGACTGCAGTCATCCGCAGAGGGAGTTGGTGTCAAATACAAATATTAATGAAGCCTCCGCTCGGGACCTCCGGGGAATCCCTTGGCGGAAAGTCGAGGGCGTTCCTCTGGGACCTCCTAACCCAGCCTATTTATTCATGATACACACATTAATATTGCCACCTTCCTTGCAGATGTTAACATGGTTGCAGAGCCAAAGCCACATCAGATAGGCAGGAAGCGACAGAACGTCACCAAAACCGGAAATGATTGGTGAGTGCTGATGGAGAAAGTATATTATTGCATATCATTTAAATGGCCCACACCATCAACATCACACACAATCTGCATGGCCAAATAATGTCACTTCTTTTCCCAGGCAGCTTCGGGTTCAGTAGGAATGCAATTAAACGAGCTGAAATTGGAAAATTCATTCAGAACACAGAGAGAGAGAGAGTGTAGAATGACTTTAGCTCTCTGGCTCACTGAATTGTCAGTTACTGTGACAATTGATACTAATTTTTCGTGTGATAGCGAATGTCGGGCCACGAAAGACATTCTAATGGAATTGCGTGGTCGCTAATTCCATTGAAATTTCACTCCATTGCATCCGAATTCATACAATCGCACAATCACTCTGGACACAGAGTGGAAATAGCTAACATTACTAGAAGATATCAAGTGCTAAAGATCTTTATTTCTCACACAATCAATTGTTTAGGTGAATCTGTGTTCTCAATTCTTTAGCTTTCTTTTTAAACGTCAAGGGGAAAGTCACTCGCGAATTCAGACTATTAATTTTGTGATTATTCAATCTATGTTTTGATAATGCCAAAAATATTAAAATATTTGGTTATTTTTACCAAATATTGCCGCTAGAGGGCAGTTATTTAAATTTTAAAGTATGTTGGAGTTCCGATTGTATTTTCTCCTTATTTTAGGTGTTCGAATCCAGATTGTGACAAATTTTGTGACTTTTTTGATATTTAAATATTTTTTTTATTAAATATTTTGAAAATATTTGAATTTATTTCAATTTTTTTAAAATTCAATAAAATACTTTGTCAAAAATATTAAATCTTCTAATTTTTTGCAATTTTACTTGCATAATAATAATTTTGATTTTTTTAATTCAATTTTTAATGTTTGAAAATAAAAATCAATATTTTAAATATTTGATTTCATTATAATCAATATTTTCCAACAAGATCTTTATGTTCTAAACGCATTGCTTTTGACCTATTAATGAGCTGAAGATCTTCAGGGTTCAGGATTTGGTTAAGAAATCAGACGCCCAATCAAATGAGTGTTAATTCAAGTACTTCATCCTTTGCTTTGGACGGATTTGAAGATAATTTGTTGCTCCTTTTGAACACTGAGCCGCCGAAGGGCGGAATTGTTTGCTGAACGAGTGCGGGAGTGACAAAAAGTCTGGCAGTCAACTGAACAGAGCTCTTTTGTCTCCACATTTTGGAGCATTTCCTCTGCGGGGCTGCACTGCTGCCTCGCTCACATGTTATTCTGGGATTCGGTTGGTTGAATTTTGGGGATGGTTCGTTGGCAAATATTTACTCAGGGATTTGTTCCCGCCATACAGTGAATGGATCTGAAAATATTTGCTTAAATCTGTTATTTTGCGTGTTCTTTCTCCACCCCAAACCATACTTCTAGCCGTGCCATGTTGAATCCTGTGCCGTCTTTTTTCTCTCTCCTCTTCAACACATCCATTAAACTTTATCGCTTCTTGTACTCCTCAAATCAATCAATTGCTACATAATTCAGGCGAGGCAACTTCTTGATATTTTGTTTTCTCGCCACTTTTGAGCAGCGGAATCTCATAATTTTTCAGTTCCTCACACACTTGTACATCACACGAGCTCACTTTTTGCGTGATTGATGTCTGAGAGTTTCGAGTCTTCGCCAAATTCCACCCATCACACGCATCAGCCACAATTTATTAGTGACTCAGACGGATCGTCACTCACCGGCTTCACGAGAGTGTGGCGTGATAGGGAAAGACGTGAAAAATTGATACCAAAGTTAGTGGAAAGCGCACGAAAGGCCCACATATTTTCCCAGACAAATCTTTAATGTCCTGCTGTGTTACTCAATTTTCTACTTAGCTGACAATCAACTGTGAATGGGTCACGACCTTATATCTGGGTGAATTTGCCATCTTTTTCCCAAGTGTGGCCGCTTCGCGCCAGTGTGAAAGTGGTGGCAGAGCATATAAAAGGCGAGGAATGTAAAAATATGCGTTGCAAATGGCCCCGAAAGCACTAACTAGAGCTTCATAAAATAAATTTAACTTAATGGTCATTCAAAGGGACATTCTCACATCGCACGTCATTTAAACCCTTTTATGGGTGGCGGAGGAGAAGGAGAAGAAGATTGTGATGTTGCGCTCTGTATTAAATTCATCCCATCGTCAAAATCCATTTATAGAGACTGCGAGACACAATATAAAGCGCGTTGCGATGTCAGGCGAAATTGATTTCGGTTGAGGGATCCCAAAGTATCCATTTCTGACGGCATATGTTCTTGTTTTATTCGCTCCTTAACGTCTTACTCTTTCTCTCCTCCATTTCAACCCAGTCGCGATGGGATAAAATGTGTCCAAAAAGGGATGGATTTTCCTTGGAAATCACAGAGAGAGAGAGAATTTCACACCAGATTCATCGGATGCGAAAGGCGGTAAAAATAATTACCAAATGCACAGCGACGGATTTTTCTCAGTCACACCCCAAAATCATCAATAGAGTTATCTCGTGGCGTGAAAGGCGAGATGGTATTTAGTGAATCAATAAACTATCCCCAGAAATGATGGTGCACAAAACTTAATTTCACAGCCAAAGAAACCTTTCTCACAATTTATGGGGTGGCGTGAAATACATTTTCCACCTCATGAATGCCGTGTAATTTTCTTTGCTTGTTGTAAGTCTGCAAGCGGAAAAGTTGTGGTGAAAAATTCTCTCCCAGCATAGAGAGGAAATCAATTGAATTTGCGGACGAGAGAAAGGATAAAGTGTTATTTATTGGATTTTTCTTAATGTTGAGTTTGACACTGTTAATGCGGGTTTTGTCAGAATGGCAGGACTGTTAATATTTCAGTGTGTATAGTTTTTAATCACACTAAGGCCAGAGAGTGTCTGTGACACATAAAGATAAGGGAATTTATAGAAATGTGAGAAATTCGACGTTGTAAGAAAGCAATTGTGCAGACAGAAAAAAAGTGCTGCCAAACAGCACGATTAAGCCATGTTGTACACAATAGAAAGCAAATGTTATAGAGTTTTACGAGATCCATAACATTTTTAATTGCCACCCCTATATTTTCTTGGGCATTAAAGGCCTTTAAAACTCCTCTGCAGCCTCGGGAAAATGAATGAGTGACTTTAAATTGGAAATCATGCAGAGACATTACACTTTTATTTGACAGTAAATCTGGCTAATAAATTTTAACACCAATGTTCCCACACACAAATTAACCCTTTCATCGCACTTATCATGTTTTATTCATGGCTGAAAATTATTAATTAATATTTTTCTCTCCTCTTTCTTCTTCTGTCCGTGCAGGGACTACTACTATGACAGGTGAGTCACGAGTGTCTTTTCCCACCACTGAGGTTTTTCCAGCCAGCACAGAGAGAGAGATAGAGAGGGAGGATGTGGTATTAAAGTCGAGGAAATATATGTTGGGGTGAAATTAGGTGTAAACAGAGACAGAGAGGAGAAAATTCATTAATTTGTGCGTGATGCATAAAAAATAAATTACGAGAGAGTGAAAATCTGCTATGAATATTCATGTCACCCTCGTGATCATCACACTTGCCCACGCCCAGCCTTCAAAATGAATCTTCTCTCACTTTTTGCCCTTTTTCCACGCCACCCCCGACCCTCTGTCGGCCACGGTGGGACCGAAAAAGTTAACCATCTCCGGGATCAGCGGCGAAATCAGCTTCCCCGGGATTTCAGGCACCGCCATAAGCCGCACAACACGCTTTCCTCCCTCAATATCCACTGTAGATTATATTTCACTTGTTAGCATATAAAACGTCCTCTTCTGTTCATTTCATTTATTAGCGGTATTTAACGAAGGTGCTAATGGCCATCACGATGTGCAAATAGGGAGGATGAGGAGCACAACTGTGGATAAATGTGAGGGGAAAAATCCTCTCAAGAGACCATTAACACACGACACAGCCATCGTAAGTGGTTATGTAAATATTTTCCAGGGGCTGCAGACTAATGATAAAACATCCAAACACACAGCCAACCGTCATTTCGCAAGATTTATATACACGAGATGCACATTTCCACGGGGAAAAGTGCCTTCAAACGCCTCTGATTTCCTTCCACGTCAAGTCAACTACTTAAGCTTTCCCCAGCAAATCCCGGGTTATTTGCAGCCAGGCGAGTTCATTTTTGCATTGTACGTTCCTTTAGAATAACAATTGAAGAGGTTTTTCGGAAAAACCTGGAACAAAACAGTGAATGAATGTAAGAAAATGCTACAAGCATGATTGAAATTCCGCCTTTTGTCTGCAAGCAATTGTCTTAGATTTGTAAGAGTCCCTGGAAGATATTCTCCCGCTTTATCCATCTGTAATCTATTAGCATTACACAGAAGCGTCAGTGTAATGGGAAAAGTGTCAATTTAAGGTGTGCGGAAAGTGTTGACAATCTGCTCGCATCCGCCAGCATAAAATATTGCTCAGGGTGTATTAAAATTTGATTAAATCTCATTTGGCATTGGGAAATGGAATTAACCTGACAGTTTACTTAGGACCATCCTTCTTGTCGCTGTGTGGAAATTGTTATGGTGCTATTGAGTAAATTCTGCGGTAGTAAAGTACAATACGGTAGATGAATCATGATCACGTTCGCGTGTTCTGCACATAGTTTAATACACCGATTTAATAGTTTCACGATTTGTTTACACGGGAGTTTGGTGTATACACGCCTTTCAGGACACCCACCCCCCGACATTCCGCCCCACCGAATCCCCCTCGATACAGTATGCTAAAGCCATGTGATTGTACACCGAAAATATGCGCTCCGAACGAACGCCGGAGAAGCGGCAGAAGACTCAGCGCGCGCGGGCTTCCTTTTTCCACGGGGTTTTCCCACCCTCTGCGCCTTCTTTCTTATAGTTTTCAACTCTCGAGCACACCAAATGGGTTTTGTAATAATAAATTTGTTTGCATATTAAAAATAGAAAATGTTTCATTTACATTGTGCCCCCACGAAGGGATTATACAAAATTCACTCCAATCCATTAGGGGTGTGTGTGTGCGCCAGCAAGAAAATGTGGATGTACAATGTCGAGGATGGCGAATTGTGGGTGGGAAGCTTACTCACCCCCCGAAACCAAGCTGAAGCTCAGCGAGAGAGAGAGAAAGAGAGCATTTTATTGTAACAAACACGATGGAAAACACGAAATTGTATAAATGTTCTCCTCATAGCATTTAATTGGAAAAGTTTTTACTTTTTAACTAAAAGACTGAGAAAGATTATCGTTCAACTTTATACTTTCTGTTTGGTCGATTTTCATTTCATTACAGCCAGAATTTAACTCTGTAATATTCCTCTGAGGACATAATGTATGTTGAGAAAAAGGTCCGTTTGTTTCTTGCGCTTTGTTTGCACAATAGGGAAAAATAATAGTTTTATGCTCGGATGTTTGGTCGGCTTGTGGAAATTGAAATTTTCAAGACTCTTTAGTCTCTTGTAGGCACTAAAATGTAGTTATGTTTTTAATAATAAGGTGTTCTTAAAGACTCCTAGAGAGAAATTTCTCTCGAGAGAAATTTGTCAGTTAAAATCAAAGCTCAGAAGGAGATGAAATTCGAGCTTTTCTCAAAAGTTTTACATCCACATAGAGAGTAATTCCATTTCATGACATTCATAAACACAGCAAGAGCCATAACAACCGATTCCCCATAAGAAATAAAGCCGCTATTATGTCCTCATAATGTAAACGACATGACTGAAAAAAGACGTAAACAGTGTGACGGAAAAAGAAATAATAATTATTTATTCAAATTAACTCTTTCTCAAACTCAAACCAAAAGTTTTCTTCATTATACGGAAATTTTCCACCCTGTGTGTATACCATTTAGTGAATTTTAATTGACTCACCGCTGAGACGAAATGCCAGTGGCTTGGCCGCGATGGAAGGGAGCGCGATGAAAATCACTTTGTCATCCAATTTCCACGCGAAAGACAGACGTGGAAAAAAGCATTTTTGCTGCGAAATTCAAATTTGTCACGAGACATTTTAATATGCATGGAATGAGCCTTAAGCGACCGTGTCAATTTTCGTATTTTGCACAACTTTCCACTGGAGGAGTCGCAGAGATGAGGGACCGCCAGAGAGAGGACCGCGGACGCAACCTGTCTGGCGAGGACTTGAAAGTCTCCTTTTTTTCTCGTCTTCCACACTTTATGCAAAAATCCACTTCCGTTTACACTCTCTTTGCCACCCCATTGGATCAGGGCGAAACTTCCGGCCGCCGCTGCGGCCCCTCGGCGTGCGGCGCTGTGTGCCATCGTGATCGGGGTGGATGACGAAAGAAGGTGGTGGTGAAAGTTGTGAAACCCCTATTTAATATTTATGAGTCCAACTTGCCATAATCATTTGGCCTCTCTCACACTTCCCCAGGCCGCCACTGTGGCGTACAAAATGCCAAGTTAGTCAAACAATATCATTATGTAAATAAACGGAAATAAATTTTCCATTATACAACCTAACGGTAAAATATGTTATGCAGCTAATTACAGAAACAGAAGCTCTCTCTCACCCCATAGACACTGCGAGGGGGTTTTCGGGAAGCTTTGAAAATTCACTCGGGCCACAATTTTCTATCGCACCGAAGCGGCCTCGGCATTAAATTAAAACTTTATCCATTTTCCTGATGAATTTCACTTAATTTCCCTTCAATACACGCACGTCTTTTGGCCCTAGACGAGGGTGAGAGCCCTTAATGCTTAACCAAGTAATGCACTTATCTCTGGTGTGTTCGCGTTCCAAAGTTGTACTCATAATTATAAAATTATACTTACTAGAGAAAATGCTGTGATATTTTTTAGCATACTTGCTGCATAACTCTATTCAACCCTGCAAATAATTACAGTAAAGTAAAGCGACGGACGTACAAAATATGTTATGCTTATTGATTTAATAATAAACAGCTCTTAACTCTACTTGTGTGACCAATCGTCCAAATTATTCATCCACATACTCGATGAAATCGTTTAAAAATAAGTACATAACTTCAAGCACACCGATAAATGCTCCAAATCCTCTAAATGATCATGTGATGAGCCAATGCCACTAACAACCTACGCGAGGGCAGGAAATGGTTAGCAGGAATGAGTCTATAGTTTTCAAATTAGATTATGATTCATGTCATGAGAGATTCTTAAATTCTCACCACTCGTGAGGATGGAAAATTCCTCCTGATTAAAGGGATGATGCCTCATTACACAGACTCATTCGTAAAGTGTCCGCATCAGACGTGAAGAGAGATGGCGAGCGCTCCCTCATTACTCCCGGAAGACGCTCTGGTGTCGGGGTTAAAAAATGACCCACAATGTCGACACAGTGTGACAATTGGGTGATCCATGCTGCACAATCGTCCTGTTATTCACCCTCATTAGAGGATGGTGGCCTTTGTCCTCGCCTCCACTTCCGGCTGTCGTGCGCACGTCATAGCCAGATGATGTCATTATGGCGGATTTTATCAGGGAGTTTGGCGATTTTTTCCGTGTCTCGCGCCAAGAGTTCTCAACCACACATGTCATCCAGAGTCCGCAGATTAAACGGCATCGTCTTCTCTTTTCGCAGCTACTGTGCATCAACGCTCCTGCCCACAAATGCACCGCGCCCGATAAAGCGCCAACGATTAATGGGACCACAGCAGCAGCAGCAACTGCAGCAGAATCGCCTGACAGTGAGTGTCCAGCAAGTAAATGGTAAAGTGAATCTATTGAGTATTCAGCCGTCGCCACAGAATCAGCAACAGCAGATGATTCTGCCGACAAGTCCACTCCCCAACGGTAGCCATAATCATGCAAATGGGCACAATGGCGACGCAGTGGTGAATGGGAGCGGAGATGCCCATGCCTCGCAGCATCTCAGCAGTCAGCAATTGTTCGAAACATTCAAGGTCTACAGTGAGTATCGGATGACATTGTACACAACTCAAGCCCACACAGCACCCCGAACACCCCAAACCCCCCAAACCATGCGAAGAATCCGTTGGAGAATTGCGGGCAATCGTGTTGCGAATAACTCTACAAATCAATCCTCTGCTCTCCAAAAATCTCTCCTAAAGCTTCCGCAGATTACGGGGTTAATCACATAAAGCATATTGTTCTCCCCAACTTCAGAGCGTAACGTCTCTCAAGCTCGTCCTGAAATTCCTCCCCCGCACTTTAGTTTTATGAAGTTGCTAAATTGGGAGAATTTTCACACAATTTCCGGATTGGATTGAGAGATTGCTAAAGAGTTTCACTTAATGGTGCCGCCGCTGTGAACATCCCCCGTTCCGACAGCTACACAATTTCCACTTTGTTCCCTCAACCCCATGAACTTTCAACCCCCGCCACACAATGTTTCCCCACATTTGCTAATCACACAATCTTAACCAGTATCTCATATTATTCCACTCATATTTAATTTACATTATGTTGTACACAAAGATGTATTTATTTATTGAATGATCTCATTTCAACCCCCCCAAAACTCGCATGTTAACAATTTTAGAGGCACACAAACTTAATGACTCCGCATCCGAAAGTTTTCTCCGCAAAATGCGGGACAACACACGAACGGGGGCTGAATTGTGAATTGGATTGTTGAGTTTCGGGGGTTTTTTGGCATATGAACGAACATCCTCTGCACAAACAAGATGTTGAGGGTGTGGAGCGAGTCACTCATGCAAGTAATTAACTATTTTGTGTCATCAAAGGCAATCCCGACACACTCATCTGTGGCAACTGCCGGGAGAGTTTCAGCAATCTCAGTGATTTGTTGGACCACAAGAGGACCTACTGCAAACTCAGATTCACATGCAAATGCCACCAGATATCGTCGGACAGGAATTTCAGCAGCCATCGTGAGTGGCTCCACACTCTAAATACCCCTGACCACAATGTCAATAGGATGCTTTCTTTGATGCAGAGAATCCGCTGCCCACAGCACGCCTGCTCTGCGTCGTGTGCAAGGATCCCTTCTCCAATCCCTGGGACTTGATGGTGCACGCTCAGACAGCCCACATGATCAACATCTACGAGCTGGGTCACGACGCTGGACCGCCGGCCGCCGCGACCAGCGAGGCAGCCGAGGCAGGAGCGTCCAAGGAAGACGTCCCGGCCAGCAAGGATTCACCCGAAGTCGCCGAGGAGAAGGAGGTTGGTCAGATTGTTGGGAACATTGATTGGCAGTCTTATTTTCAGTATTTCAGCTTGTTGCATATCCTCGATATACAGTAGCGACAATTAGTTTACGACACCTAAGAAATTTTGTGCCAAGAAATGATCAGAATTTTATGATCTTTCAAATGACGTTGAGATTATGACAATATCTCAATTCGGGGCTGAAATATTGCAAAATGCAAAGAGATCTGCGTTCAAGAACTGCGAAAATTAAATTAGAACACTGTATATTTTGCTCTAAATCTATGTTATAACCTTAATACTGGCTGGGATGACCACATTAAATCATGAGTTTGGAATGTCTGGAAGACATTCACATCATAGGACGCCTTGATTTGGACTTGTAAACTTGCTTTGTGTATATTTTTAGCTGCCGTTTAACGCTTTTGTACCATTTTTTTCATTTCTACCGCACAATTTAAATCTTGTTCACGGAATTTTTAAGAAGTGTAGAAGAAGAGTTTAAATTGATCGTTCAAGAACAATTATGTAAGCGTGAAAATTACAGCATTTTGCTCTCTATAAAGTGTGATTTTTAGTCTATTTCTTATTTTATTGTCCAGAAAGTCAGTAATTTATTATTAACATAAATGTTAATATTTAAATGAAGAGCTTTGCAGCTTCGGTTCATTCTAATTAACCACAATATTTTATATGCTTCACACTTTTTCTTTACTCTCAAATGATCCTGTCGATTAGCTTTTGGTTACTTTACGCGCTTTGAACTGGCTTCAAAGTCAAAGCCGAAGATTTTGATCACCGCATTTTGCAAATTCCAACACCCGAACATACCTTACACACCTTCACATTGTAAACATACGCAGATTACAGACATTATGGCTGGTCTGGCGATGAGCGTGAAATATTAACGTGCATCTGCATTCCGGGGGAAACCTAATCAACGTGAGCATCAAGTCCTGAGTGATAATCCTGGGGAAGTGGAAAGTGCACAGAGAGTGAAAAAAGTGCAAAAAGCAAATCATACCTTTTTAATTAAGAGATATTGCATTCAGGAGAGCGGCGGGAATTCGCCGTCCGGGGTCAGGGGCGGGAAAAAATCATCACACCCCAACGTGTTGCTCAGGGTGGGTGGTGCAATTTTAAATAAGCCAGGCGTCACATCGAGAGTGAACATCTCTCGGGCTGCAATATTTCGAAAAGCTTTTCACCCTTTGAACTTTTATTCACTTACCATCCAGTGTGAACGTGGGCGGAGAAGCGCCCGCGTTGGCGCGGTGAAAATGATGCCTTTCAACAAATTTATGTCAATGTTACCCTCAGTCGGCTAAAATGTGCTCACGTCTATCTCTTTGGCTCATGGATTCATCATTCGTGATCTGGCTTAGGGAAGTCACTGGAGTGGCGGCGAGAGTGAATGAGATATGGTGTGAGAATGTGTGCAATAGATGTCAGACTTTGTCTATCAAATGTCAGGCTAAATAGGAAAATGCCAACCGAAAGAGTGGTGAAAACATTCATCCATTTCCTGAATATTACGGCGAATGTATCTGACTCCTCTTTTGCCACTTTTCCTCACTTGGCGCGCAAAATGTGAAGGAATGCCTGGGCGAAGGTGGCAAATGGTGCTGCGATGGGTGAAAAGCTGCAAGTTGAGCTTGGCAAAGGAAGAATCATCGTCTCAGATGAGATTATATTCGACCATCTTCGCCTCCCATGGACTTTTTACCCGTCTGACTGCTAAATCTAAAACTAAAGGCCACTCTGAGCACGATCTGACATCTAGCCTTTGAGCACGATGTGCAAAAATTTCGCCATTACGCGATTGGAATGTCGTAAAATTACAACGACACACAGTCAATAGGATTTGGGGTCCTCGAAGCCACTCGAGAATATGAAATATCTGAATTATGTGCTTTTGGCACTTTCACTCTCTCTCTCTCTCTCGCTTCCTCTTCCCAACCTCCACCCCCCAAAAATGGTCCTGCGAGGCGAAGTGGATGAAAGAGGAAATCATTGAAATTAATCAAAGACACCCCTTTCAATATCGCCTCGAGTCAACTTTGCTTATCTATTAATCTTCATTTCCCACCCAGAAATAAGGTGTGCCAAATTCAATATAACCAACTCCATGACTCTCCACTTCTTTCACTTCCAAAGTCTATTTAATGGCACTTCCTGTGTTTATAATACACAGGGTGTATTAATAAAATAAATCTTCGTGCCGATAAGTTGTTTGCCAGCCATCGCCGCCCAGCAAGCCTGCCAACAACTGGGAGGACAAAAGGCGCTGGGAGGGGAAGAGATTGGACTCAGCCGTAATAGTCAGGAGATAAATTGGGGATCAATTTATGATGACTTTAATTACTTGTGATTCCTGCCTTCTCAAGTGCTTCTGCAGATATCAAAAAACCCGCTTCACTCCTAATTCAACTCCATCTGCATGTCGATGTTTTATTCCATCTGTTGGAAATAAAAGACGTGGCTTTGTCTTTGGACGGATGTTTGAATCCAGCCAAAAGATGCGCCTCAAGTTGCTTGAGAGATTCACAAGCAATCGTTAAGAAAAGCATTGGAAATAGAGTCAAATTCTGCCTTTCAAGGAATCAAAAGCTCTGTATTGTGACCCAATTTCACTATTAATTTCCCCAGCACTTTTTCCCCTCACTTTAACTTCTCCCTTTTATGCAAAAAATATCAACATTATGGGGGAAAAATTGCTGCATTTGAAGTTGTATGATTAGTGGAGAGTCTATCCTCACCCTCTTGTATGAGGCTAAACTTTCTTAGCAGTTGATTATGCTAATTAAATCCCAGGAGCGCCCTTCGCCATCCCCAGATTTGTACGCACCTCTCCCACCATTATCCGCCCCGAGAGGAGAAACCCCAGTCGGAGGGTCTTTGGCTTGTAGCTCCTCTAATTCAATGCAAGCAAAATAAAGTCTAAAGATTAGTTCTCGAAGCGGAAATTGAGTAGCTCAGAGCTGTAGGTTTTGTGGGCATCTGGCAGAAGGGATGTTTGTTCATTAGACTAAGTGAAGTTGTCGTGGCGATGTGTTAAATTCAATTATTGACGCCATCGATTGCTATCGGGTTCGAAGTGTGAAAATTAAAATTGAATTTCACCTCTCTGTGTACATCTCCATCCCGCATCGCAGTGTGGCCGCCCGAAATTTTAATGATGATTGATGATTTTTCTCCCACCCCCCGAATTGGGCGCCAAAATGTTTCCGTCCGACTACATTTTAGTTTGCGCCGAGGTGGATTTTCGGCGGGGTGGAAAAAATTTAAATGGGTTTAATTATGGTCTGGGGCCATTTCACAGAGGAGTTGAAACCCTTTTCTCATTCATGCCTATCAGGACGCCGATCCGGCAAATCCATCATCGACGGATGTTAATTTATACGAGGAGACTGCCTCATCATCATCGCCCCCCTCGCCGGCCGCCGAGGAGGCCGCCGTGAAGCTGAACGGCTCCGCCGCGCCCCAGAAGGACTGCCGCGAAGGCTCGGCGTCTCCCAGGATCGTGAGTATTCCGGGGGATGGGGGATCCCAATCAAATTAGTCCGGGCAAGATTGGTATCTGAAATTGCTGAAACTTGTCTCTCGGGCAGGAAACACCGGCCAACACGCCGCACTCAAAGAATCCCACCACTCTTGAGCTTGTCACCCCGACGACGCTGTAAATTGCAGAGTGGCGAGAAAACACCCCCTCAGCGTCACTGCGATGTATCTTTAAGGCATGACATAAGAGATATATACTCAATATTCTAAATTGCTATTCATCACCTCGAAGGAGAAAACATTGTGGATCTAATTGTGTACATATCATTGCAACTATTGCTGTAGACATGGAGATTGTGAGATATATATTTACCGGTTTAGAGCTGACAAAATAGCATATATATACACACACAGCCCCCAAAAGTACATCGGGAAATTTATACACCTTCGACTGGCCGCCAGCCGCCTTTTGCGCCCACGTGATGAAGAATGGCAGGTGAGCGGGATAAATTATTCGCATCAAAATTGAATTTTCATGCAAATATGGAATGGGCGAAGTGCAGAAGAAAGAGACCAATGAAAAAATCTCTATTGATTTAAAAATTTTTCCCACGAGATTATTCTGCTCTCTCCTTCACTGTGTAAATTTACCCCAGTCTTAATACCCTGCTTAGGGAGTTCTGCTGAGAATTCACACAGGATAAATTCTCAATTATAATCCCAGTAGAAAGCTAAAAATCATCTCAAAAGTTCTTCTCTGACGACAGCCGGAGAGAGAAAAAAAAACCCACGAAGAGGAAAAAATCTCTCACATTGTATGATATTTAAGAAGATTTAGGAATTATTTTCGAGATATTTGTATCTTAACCATAGAAACAGTCGGAAAAAAAGTGTCGAAAGAGTAAATCTGTAGGAGTTGAATTTTTGTGAAATTACACGCAATTAAAGTGCAGTTATGTATAAAAAAAAGAAATGAAATTCAGAAGAAATGGAAAATGAAAACATTAACAAGTGATTTTAGTACTTTTGTAAAATCTTTAATAGTCATCTCATCACACGAACATCACAACTAAAAACACGACGATGCGAGAGAAAAATTTAAACCATCATGCAAGGTATTATTTTATGGATAAATAATAATAATACAAGAAAGAGAAAAATATATACAGTAAAAAAAATCCGCTATTAATGACAAAGTAAATCCATTGAATTTGTGAACTCTCACGGATACAATTGAGATTTATGCAGATATATATATATATATAAACTATATAAATTATTATATTGTTCCATAAACAAAATTATTTATCAATTTTTCAAATAAATGTCCTCCATATTTACAGAAGTGATCAATCGTCGCTCAGTATTTCAATAGAAATTTGCATGTTTCGAACAATTTGCCGACAAGGTAAGTGCTTAAATAAATTTACTGAATTTTCATTTATTCAAATACGGATGAGTGTGAATTTTCGACAGTTTTCCACCATTTTGTGGCGCTTGACAATTTATTAAATAATTGCATTTTAAGTGGTTCCTTAACAAAATTCACCCGTCAAATCTTTATCCGTACTTCTCGGAATTGCTAAATACAAGCGACATGGAATGGACTTGGGTTTGGCGAGTCAGTGCCAATTATTCAATGTGTGAGAGTCCATGGGAAATTTTTCACAGTCACAAAATGAAGCTATAAATGAATTAACAACAGCTGATCAATTTTTGTATTTCAGCTGAATGTCTGGCAAATCACATTTCCCTTTTAATTTCAAACAAATTTCCGCCCCATAACAATTTTCTACAGGGCATGAAGCAATTTTTAGAGCAGCATAGCTTCTCAAATGACTCAATTCGGGGCCCTCAAATCGACTCGCATGCTCTGAATGGATTATTTTTGGTAAAATGGAGCGCTTCCATTCAGAGAGAATTACGATATGGAATCAATCACGAGATTAGAGGAAATAAAATACCATCCCCGGAGGTGGATTTTATTTATTGGCGCGATATGGGGAGGAAAAAACAACAAGGTGTGTCTCAGGGGTGGATTGCCTTCGCTCACACCCTCGTCGATTTGTGGCCATGATATAGTAATCGCCAGTCTGGCGTTTTCCCCTTATTATCACATATTTTCCTCATCAACTCTTTCCTCTGCCGCCGACTTTGCGTCAGTCAACGCCAAAGTGTGGCATTTGGAACCCAAAAAAAACCGACAATTTTCCCGCACATTCTCTTCAATAACTTACATTGATTACCTTGTAATATTTTTACTACATCGCGACGCATTGAATGTGTGTGTCTCACATTTTATCATATATCTCAATAATACGGAAATGAGACGCATTTAGCACGCCTTCGTCAATAAGCAACTGAGAACACGAATCACGAAAGAAATTTCTGAGAGCGAAAGTCTGTGGGCAACAAGGTGGGCAACGCCCATCAAGAGGAAGAGCATTAATGAGGATGGCAAGATTTCATGGGAGAAGAAAAGAGACTCGAAAAGTTATCACTTTTGCGCGACTCTCACATGGCGAAGGAGGAGGAAATATTAATGAAATTAAGCTCTATATATATGCCATGTGAAAATGAAATGAGCTGGAAAGGCGAAACTACCGTCGCGTGACTTGTCTCTTTTTGTATTTGACTGCCAGAAAAAGCCCCATAAGTTCATCCTAAAAGCACCATTGCAAGTCAGGTCACTTTGCTATCGCTGGGCGTAGTGAAAAACACCGCATGTGAAATATTTTACGGCACATCCCCACCTTGTAAGGAAATTCCTTTCTTTCCAGTGCCATTCATTCCCTCTGCCAGCCGAGTGTGGGATTTTTCCGTAAATCCCCGAGAGAAATGCAAATCAATGGAGAATAATCGTTTCCTGCATCCACAAATCAATCCCACAACATGGATAAAAGTACACTTTATTCTATTCTGGAGGGAAAAGCGCGAGGCTCTCGCAGACAAACACTTGACTTCCTCTCTTTGCGAGAGGGTTGCTATTTAAGAACGATCGAAAATTTCCCCCTGATTGTTTTTTTCTCCATTAGGTAAGTTTCAAGGTCTGCAAGACCTAAGCTCACAATGCAGAAATTTATACAGAGAGGGAATCCTAAAGCAGGAAATCCGCCAACACTGTGCGCTATTCACTCTCTGGAGTCGTGGTGTGAGGAATAGAATTGACGCCGAGTGTGAGTGTGTTCTATGGGTTTTAAGGGCTCCACGGGCAATGAAGGAAATGCTAAATAATTAACTATTCACATACAACACACTGACTTTCATCGGACTCATCTTCCACTCCTGGCGTCTCTCGAGCGCTATTCATTCCGCCGCATAAAGTACACGGCGAGACAGGTGAATGGATGCCACGAGGGGCGCCCGGGGGTGTGAGGGCGAGGAGATACAAACTGAGGATCTACACGCCACACACATTACGTATATTAGCAAGTCAACGATTTCCACTCTCTCCCACGGCGATGTTCTGCCACATTCTGACTTGTTGTTTGTACTATATTTATGCGGGGTACAAGAAAAATATTCCGCCACCCTGAGCTTCCCTCGCAAGGCATCGCAGTATTGACCCGACAAGCCACAGGAGGTTTTCTATGTTGCGAGAGGAAAAAAAGCTCGCACGGCAGTGCGAAGGCGCGAAGAGTGCGCGGCGACGAAGTTGCGGAGAGTTCAACTTTGCGAACATCGCATCCCCTCAAGACCCACCCATTTTACATTCAATTAAAGGCAATAGAAGCTAGATTACTTCTATGATAGCCGCGCTCTGTGCCAATGAATTAGACCAGGATATATACCTATATATTCTCCCGCTACCCACGAAGCTCGCGTCGCTTCTCAAACCACAAGGAATTCTCCCATGAGAAAATCTGCAAATAAACTTCTTTGGCGTGTGGGTGATGAAAAGCACGGAGGGCGGAAAAGGACCACCGACGGAAAATATTTGTTTACCATTTAACCACTGAGGAGTGTACGAGAAATTGAAGTAAAAAAAAAGCCTCATGTTTTCTTTTTCTTCCTACAATTCGCAGAGAAAATACTTGTGAAAATATTAAAATAAAGAGAGACAGAGGAAAAGTTATACAGAGCCGATGAAGGGCAGGTTTATATGGAAATGAGATGCTCTCAGGAGCAGATAAGATGAAGAAAAAAAAATGTGTGATATCATCCATCCAGCATCTTTTTCAACTAATTCACATGGAAAAATAAAAGATCAAAAGATTCCTCTCCAATGTCCCCTGCGGAAAAATTTGTTTCTCAATTCACTTGGCTCATCTCATAAGAGACTTCATTCTCTGTGTTATTCATTTGGCGTCTTTCAGAAATCTTCATTATGCTTGAGTTTTTTGAAATACTGAATTCCTTTGAAATGTCTCAAGTTGCAAGAGCGCAGCTGAGATGCTTTCAATCAATAGCTTGAACGCGTATTGCACGGCATAATATCTAAGTAAGTAACACTACTAATTCTGTATTAGAATCAGTAAATAAACTGATATTTTAAACTGGGAAACACTGACATAATATTTCTCAATGAAATCGCAACGTTAAATGCCAACGAGTAGGGAAAATTTTCGAATGAGGAAGTTTTATTCTTCCTATTGGACGATATCATTGATCAAAATGTGAAGGGAAGCCGCAGAGAATGCAAATATATTTATTAAAATTTCCTTCGCGTATTTGCTTTTCCATCTCATGGCAAAAAGCATTCGATGATGGTATCATTTCTACGGTCGCGCATTTTGCTCCCGAATGCCATGAAACATTCCCAATGGAGGAAAATTGCACTTGACATTTGGTGCAACATGCATCTGTGAGTGTTCTCTGTGGGTGGGAAGAGAAGGATTTATTTGAAAGCTCTTCGTGGGGCTCCTTTTGCTCCGATGGCAGAATATTCCCTCTCTTTTGGCTATTGAAAATTTCCTTTGCGTGATAAGTCATCGGGCATTCACACCGTCACTCTCTTCACTCAGGCGGAAAATTTATCATGTATGGAAAGTGGATGAGGGCTGCGAGAGTGATGTGTCAATGAATATGACTGGACAGCAAATATTTTATTTAGTGAGCGACATACATTCCAACTAATACGCCTTACATCATCCATTAAATTAGGGTGTGACGTTAATTACACTTAAAGTCCCTCAGCGAAAGTGTGACTGGCTCGTGAAGGAGTCCTTTTAGATTAGCCATTAAGTATTTATAATTCGAATAGCACAGCACAACTACCCTCGCTCCCAAGTGGATGTGACAGAACCAATATTTGTGATTTATGAGGCTACCATCGCTGTAATCGTGATGATTTTCAATTATTTATATTGAAATATGAAATTCATAGTTGGAGGTGGGAATTGTGCTTTCATTGCCAAGACACTTGGCCGCTGCGGTGTTAATGTTAAGAGCTTATTAATTGAAGAACTCACCATCGCTATCAGTCTTCTAACCACTCCTCTCACACCTTCGCCAAGAATGAAAACTGGCGGCAGCTTATGTATGTCAAGAATTTGATCGACGGATAAATTTCGCATCTGCGAGGGAAGCTTATAAATTTACTATTACACGGACTTTTAAGGGTGGCTGGCGCAATCTCTCCTGTGCATTTTCCACCCTCAATATCTCACTCAATTTCAACCTCGAAAAATTCACTATACATCTCCCAGAATATACACTCACCCAACCGCTTTTATGATGAATCGTCCGTCAATTCTCGTGTGCGGAGTGTACATGAAGTCTCTGGTTGTTAATAAGAAAACACACACATATATAGAGTCGAGGATGATGTGGAGGAGGAGAAGAATCATCAAGACAATTTATCTTAATTACAGGACCATTAAAGAGAGAAAACAATTTTTTCTGCTGATAGAGTGAAAAAATTATTATCAAAAGAACTTCACAATGACTGATTTGCACTCGTGATAATTGAACGCGTCACTTCGCAGTGTATTATTATTTAACTTCATCACTTTCTCTGGCAGTGTATTAGGTCAGGATTTAAACAGTCGTTTTCTTTTTTCCTAGCGAAATTTCAAGTATTGTTCGCGGTGGTAATTTGTTTTCCCCACACACACAGGGATGAATGACGAGGAATTCCACAAAAGCCTCATGTTTCGCTCGTATAATCAGGGAAATGCTATTGACTTGGGGGCTGTAAATTCCCGCAAAGTCGATTGAGTGTGGCAGATGTTGTTAGTTCTCTTTATTATTGCATTTATTTATTAAAATAGAGAAGACCAGGAGGCGAAGAGGAATGGCGGAGCATAAAGTGGGCAGAAGATAGCATGCCCAAGAGTGTGGAAACATCCCCAAGGAGTTGTTTTCTTTTGCTCACTCTCCACCACTCATGATGTACGGGCAGAGCCAC